AATTAAAAACCAAATACTAAAGTTTTAGATCTAAATTCGTACTTTTTGAGTGCTCAAAACATTCTGGAAGTTAAAAACACAATAAAATAGAAATTTTTATCTTAACATTACTACCACTTTTTAAATTTGCGTATGAACCGTACTCAATCATTTTCCAATGGGTTAAAATACATTACTAATGAACCGAAGTTTATAGCTAAAACGCAGCAATCTTCATTATTTGGATAAACTAACTGAAGTCATTAACAAAAGGAAACTTAAATTAAAAGTGATAGAAAAGTTAACATGGACTTTAAAAATTGGTGGTAAGTATACTTACCATGGCTTTAGAAAGGGTTAAGATGATTTCAACCACTACTACACATAAATAAATAAAACCGATGTATAAATGTCTGGGTAGACATATTTGTAAATGTAATATAGGTTGAATTCCGACCCACCCCAGGGGGGTATACGGAGATAAAAGTAAAATTATTACAATAAAATTTCTCTAAAAACTAAAGTTACAGTAAAATTTCGCCAAATGACAGTGGTGGTGATCAGTTAAAAGTGGATTTACAATAACGCTTGACAATTAAAAACATGTGTTAAAGGCAATGAAGCCCAATAGCGCCGGTGTAAATGTCGAGAATTAAATGATTATAATAATAAGGAAACAAGAGATAAAAAAATCTCAAAACTAAAATCAATGAAAGCTAAAAGTCCAAATAGTAAATGTCTAAAAGTAAAAGTCTGACTAGAAGTCTATGAAGTCTAAAATCAAAAGTAGATAAAAATTCAAAATGTAAGGCTAAAAGTTGATTAGTAAAAATTAACGATGACATGCTCAATATTGTTGGTTCATGACTAGGGTCAGTTGATCTGGGGCTAGAATGTCCTCGAGGGTTTGTTTAATAATTTGAGTCACAATTTTCCTGCAGGTCAATATAGCGAAGAATTGATGTTCCTCTTCGCAATTATTCATGTGATATTTGTAAATGTAAATACAATGTAACAAAATTTCTTTGAGTATAATTGCAATTCGTTGATCTTTTTACTACCATTTACAGAAATCTTCCTGGGAAAGAGTAAACTATAGCAAAAACATAGTTGCCAACTTGTACGGTAGTTAATATTTTCCCAGCACGTTTTAACGTATAATCCTTTATTTTAAAAGTTAAATTTTAAACTGCTTTTGCTATTGTAGTGTCATAATTAACAAAAAATACAACGTGAGTTCTAAAAATTTATTTCAAAACTTAATACACAAGTTCTTAAAAGAAAAAAAAATCACTTAAAGAAAATTCAGAACACGGAAAAAAAAGAAAACATCATAGATCGTGTTTAACTCGATCAAGATATTCAACCATAGCACGAGACAATTTTTAATAAAATCTGCTCTGAGCTCTGTTTTGTTAAAATATGCTCGTTATGTTACACTATCATAATAATTCTAACCTATGTACATATCAATTAGGTAGTCGTAAGAATCGAAAGCTAAAATTTCTTTGGTACCCTCTTAAAAAGGTTCCATTTGCTATAAAACTAATATTCAGAATGCTTTAGCTCAAAAAAATAAATATTAGGATCCCGAACGTTAAAGTTTAAAAAAATCATACATTTTCTCAAAAAATGAGATGTTTTTCTCTGTAAAACCTGAGCAGGTAGTTACAGAAACATTGTTTTGTAGATAATGCTTTAAGCAGAAACTTTTATAATTATTTGCCAAACCAGCTTTTTCTAGCCCACCCGATAGACTTGATTTTCTACAGAAAGATAAAATTTTCACGATATTGGTAATTATCGTAAAATCATAAAATTAAAAAGTCAAAAATACGAATTTTTGTAACAAGATAAGCATAAAATGCCAAATTGGAAAAAAAATGTATATGAAAGAAAATTACTTTATTTCAAAAAATTATTGAAAATATAGTATTGTGAACTATGGTATAAATAGCAAATTAAGGAATCACAGCTCATTTAATGCTGTTTAACTTTTGAAATAAAAAAAATGTTACAGAATCCAAGAGTTAAAAGTTTTGAATGTATAAAAAAAATTCTAGTTCCCCAATTATCTTCTTTATTCATTTCTTGCTCATCATGCGACAATAGTTTTGAAGTCATTTTCTTTCTCTTTTCAAGATTTCATCAGAAATCCTTAGAGCAACTAATGGACAATTTATTAACACAAGTGGTTGAAAAACATTGGTTTCGCCTCTTTTAATATTTCTTCATCAAATTTTTCTGAACTAATTAAATATTTGGCTAATTGAAGGCCTTAATATACAGCGCATTAATCCGAACTTTTATATAGATGGTTATAAGGAAATGACAGATTCTTTTATAGGTCACTTATTCCTGAAAGTTTTTAAAATGCATAGAATTTTTGCTATCTATTTAGCAAGATGTATGGCGCCTAATAGATATTCCATTTTGATGCATGGCGAATATTTTGTTTGATGGTTTGGTGGCTCAGGGGAGAGAGAGCTCGCCTCCTAATGAGGTAACCCGGGTTCGAGACAACCACACGGCACGAGACGGCACCGACCACAGCTCTGACGAAAAATATCCTCACTGGTAGACGGATTATGGGTCAGGGTCTTCTTGCCCCAGGGCTAACAGAAGAAGGTTTTGGTGGTTTTCCTGTCCCCATAACGTAAATGAGGGTTAGTTCCATCTAAAAGTCCTCCACGAGGGCAAATTTCTCCCAATCCAGAAGTTCCCCTGTCGTCTGGATTAGGTTCAAAATTATAAGGCTATGGAGCTGAACATTGGTAGTTCTAAACTCGAAGTTTGGTCAGCTGCTCAAAAACGGTTATAAAAAAAAAATAAAACAAATATCAAGCTCATTTTCAAGAATTCTTTGTAGTCCATTCGAGGAAAATATATTTTTTGACTAGAAACAGTTGCATAACTTTAATGTAAGTAATTTTTTTATTTAGCCAAAACATCCATCAATCTCAATTTTGTACTGATTTTTGTGAATTTCAGACATCATATTTATAGTAGATCCTAGATATCCCAATTATAACAAGATTACCCACAATCTTAGAAAATTTCAAATCGAAGTCTTATGCTTGATAATATTTTGAAATCAAAAATTAATCTCGCAATTAAACTGCGATGACAGACAAGGTATAACAATTTTTTTCAAACAATTTCTCTCATGAAACGCAATTTCCTCTTTAATTTCCAGCACTGAAGAAGTAGTGTTTACAATGCTTCTATTTTTATCTTCTGCCCTCGATTTTTACCTCAAGCAAGCATCAAGGATGGATTGAAAAACTTCTTCTCGTATGCTTTGAATGTTGGTGACGATTTTGAAGATGGATGCAATTTTTCATATACTCTGTAAGCATCTTTGTCTTCTCAAATAATAATAATAATAAATAAAATGAAATTTCCTGGATTAAGTGTTTTTTCGTATCCCTTTGTTTCCAATTTTATTGTAACTAGATTTAGAATCAACTTGTTCTTCAGATGACTTCCAGTTAATGTATATATTAATCATATATACAATCAGGAAAATATTATTTTTCTGTCTTTAAGTCACGCATGAAGTCTAAGCAATCTTAACCTTTTTTTTATTTATTTAAATTTTTTTTTTAATTTTATATATGCATTGTTTTTTTTATTTGTTTGTTTTTTTTTCGCTTGAAAAAAATATATTTTTGTAGAAAACAAAGAATTTATAAAGCTTGAAAAGTTTGCACTTTTTTCCTTTTTTTACATAAAAACTGAACCGTATGAACTGTCATTGTGTTTAGTAGAATAAAAATATAAAATAACTGAATCTAGAGATTTTATAGCAAGATACTATATGATTTTATCTTCCGATATTTGCCCACAAAAGTTAAAAGTTAATCAAATTAAATCCAAGAATTAAAAAGTAAGATTCATTCCCACTTTAAATATAAAATTGAAATACAATGGACAATCCGGAGTTGTTGGCAGCTATGTATAGATCTTTATGGCACCCGACCTTTCCCTATTAGTTTGAAAATTTTTATGAACTCGTCGCCGCGACTGCACCCCCCCCCCTCTGGAGAGTAGGAGCATTCTCATACCGGTAGAAGTGCCGGTCGAGCTCCCTGCAAAGCTCCTTTGTGACATTTATTAACATCAATTTAAAAACTTACCAGAAACGGCAACATCTCTTGATTTTAGAATTTGCAAGTTACAATGCGAAGTATCAAAATTTGCAAAGTTTATATCTGTTACTATTGCTGGTGGAGGCGTCCATAATTGAAGAACAGGCCAAAAGTCTCTCATATCAATAAAAACATTATAAAAGCAATAAAAAAAAATTATTGTCTAAACAAAGTTACCCACAAGCTAGAGAACGTAAAGACGAAAGAGAATGAAGAAATGAACGTTAAAAATAGTTAATTCAAAGTATCAAACAGTCAAGAGATAAAATTTAAAATAATGAAAAAAAGATAAGTGTAAAATTTCAAATAAACCAAAAAGGTCATTAAAATAGAAATAGATAAAAGCTATTAAATTTAAAAGTAGGTCGGAAAAGAGAATTTAAAAAGGTAAAGTAACAGTTCTGTGCTAAAACCATAATCAAATTGTAAACACTCTAAAATATAAGTAAACGTATTAAATACAAGGTACATAAATAACATAAACTTAGCTTCCACTAGAAAAATTTTCTCAAAAGGCGTAGAAAGTAAGCAGCCCTGTTATACACAATTAGGTAATTTTTTTTAAAAATTCGCAGTCAAAAATTTCTGTCTTTGAAATGATTAAAATATTACTTATAATCTGATTTCAAGTTCAATAAGATTTTTAAATTATGCCAGAAGCTCTGAAGAGCATACTTTAAACATCATTTAGCTTCAATATGCTGATAACATAGGTTTCAAACTTATTATGAAACTAGAATTTTGTACCAAACGTACATCACAAGCTCTGCAAAGATTTTGCACGCATCGATATATTATCGACAACAAAGTTCCATGAAAGCTTCTATAATTTTTCAAATGGTCAAACAAAATTCCTAGTGGACAGGAAGGAGGGGTTGAGAAGCGGACAATACAATGTAAGGATATTCAATTCACCATCTAACCATTAATCAAGCCATACACTGAGACATCAGCAGGGAAAAGGGGTCACATGTCACACCAGAGGTGGGAATGCAAAGTCTAGGACAGGACATCGGGGACCAATTTAAAGCACCAAACCGGACCTTTCTCGCCAAGTTTATACTCTGGACAAACGAGAAACGGAAAGAAATTCAAAACGACTTAGGGATTTGTAACAGCAATTAGCACTGTATAAACCACAAGAGCAATATATTCTTTAACTGTCCTAATGGAGTGCTAATCTGTAATTCGTCAAACTCTGGTCATTATAGTACTCAGTAGGCTTTCAGTCATCAAGATTAGTGACACTCTATGTCCGCATTGACTTTACATAGGGGAATACTCAAGAAAGGTAATTTAGTTCACTTGACTTCCTGCCTCTGTTAATCCTCAATCCTTCAAAATTTGTCATTACAACGCTCAACTTATGTATAGCATCTGTACCTTAAAAAAAACGTCTTCAAGTGTAGTAAATTCTATTTATACTAAGAATGTTCTTTTTATGGTATTCTCATTGAAGATATTTTTTTCTAGGTGGCTAAATTTTTATGTTTACTATTCTTATTTAACTTTATTTTCTATTATACTTTAAGACCAACAAACGTTTTTGTGATTTAATATTCATTTTCGAGGTATTTTTATGAACTAATATATGGTATTATAATTAACCTGTTTTTTAAATGATTATTCTTTTCTATGCCGTATTGTACCTAAATTCGCTAAATTCTTATATAACGTTATATAGTAAGGTTAAATTTTTTCAAGTTTTTTACTTTTATTGTCCTCAGTTGTGATAAAATATAGACTAATTGTTGATACATTACTTTGCGGAATGTAAAAATAGTGAAAGAATACATCTACATCTGGATTATATAAATTTTGGATTTTTTGCAGGTAAGTGACTTGATTTATACCATTATTATGTCTTACTATTAGAATATACATAATATGTACAATCGACGTTTGAAAAAAAATGTATACATAACCTTGTAATTTGATGTGTATTATTACAAAAAGGACAACTTGCTTCGCCTTGTGAGCAATTTTTTCTCGTAGTAGCATAACTTCTGTTTTAATGTGTGATTTTCGCTTTCGTAAATTTGATTTAAACTGCATTTTCCCTCCCCTACATGTAAATAATTCAAACGTATATATAAGTGTCTATTTTTCTGGAAATGTGTCTTTGAAGGTGTTGGTATTCAGCAGCTTTAATTTGTCATCCACTTTGTGGAATTTTACACAGAAATCCGAGCAGTGGTATCCCTGTTATAAGTACAACATCAATGATATTCCCTATTCTACAATAATGTAAGGAATTTGATCGGTTTTCTTTCGTATCATATTTTTCATAGTTGGTTTTAAATTCTAAATAATTTATTCAAAATAATCATACCGTCCAGTATTTACACAGACGTAAAATTAGTAATGAGTGAAACAATCTTATATTTATAGATGAAAAATCGACATTTATAAATTATTTCAATTATTTATAATATAGCAGAAAAATCTATAGATGTATTAAAAACTATGTAGTTGATCAATCGTTTTTAATTCTCTATTATTATTAAAGTTCTAATATTTCGAAACGTCGCGTAACTGCTTTCAGCAGTAGCAAAAATGTTTTCTAGATAGGCTTCTTAGCATTTGTACACCAACCAACTCGTAGATTCGTTGAGATTTACGAAATAGCAGTAAATTAGACATAATATTCTACAAATTTAGCTACATTTAATCCATCAAAGTCAAGCTAAAAAAAAGTGTGCTATATTGGAAAATCCCCTATATTGAAAAAATGGTAGTATACATTTGTTCTGTTACTTACCATTTTAGCTTTAAAATACACTGCACCATAAAATTAGAGGGGAAAAAATATTTATGTTATTAAAATATGATTGAGTAGACGTACCTGTATTATTTTCTGAAGAAAAATTCTATTAATAAAACACTTGTGCTATAATTTTCTTTTTTTAAAAATGGAAGAGCTTTAAAAAAAAAACACTCCGTACAAATGAGTTTGATATTTAGTCTTTATGTATATTTTACTTTTAGTTTACTATATAACATGTTTAAAGCGTTTTGTCAAGTTAAAACTTAATTTTCACTTACAAACCTAAGCATACGAGTATCGGGTTTTACATAAATATATTTAATTTTTTAAACTTAGTGGTAGTCAGTCATTCAACTTTTTCAAATAAAAATTCAATCAATTAAGCGAAACATTTACTACCACTTTAAATATTTTGTGAGCTAGGTTTACATCTATGTAAATTTAGATTAAGAATATTTTGCCTCCACTTTTTGTTTTTGTTTTTCAAAAGCACAAGGATGTAAAAAAAGAACGTCATTTGTACGTAATAAACCAGTGATGATGCGATCGCCTAAAAAGCAAAGCACCCACAATTTTTACCATAAGTTTCAAATAAAAAATGAGTACATCAAATTAATAGGAAAATTCATTTAAATTCAACACGACTAATCATTAATTCCCTAGTATTCATTTCAAAATACTATGGCCATAACCAGGGCTAGAATGGTATTGAAAAACAATTTTCTCAAATTTTTCAAAAACCTATTTATACTTTAGACGTTTTTAGATAAAAATTACTAATAAATCGTAACTAAAAGAATTGAAATTAATAAAAAATAAAATTATAATTAAAATAAAGTTGCAATTTATGTATCGTAAAATGTAAAGAAATACCTGTTAAATATAAATAAAAGCTTTTTGTTTTTTAAGGAACATCAGAATTCTTATGTTTTAAATTTTGATAAACTGTAATAGTCGAGGAAAATGTATTTTTCACTGAATAAATTTAAATAATTAAGCCGATACTTAAAAAAATGTACATTTTCCAAAATTAAGCTACTACTTAAAAAAAAAAAAAGTTCTAAACTGTACTTATTTAAAATAAATCTGGTCTAAAAAAAAATAGTCTAAATCTAGCGAAATTCTTTCACTTCTGTCTTATTAAGTATTGATAATGTTAAGATATGGTAGAAGTTATAAATAACGAGATAAATTAAGACGTGACAAATTCTACCTTTTTGATACTTTTTTTCAGTGAATGTTTCATTCTTTACTTATTAAAACTAAATTCAATTTACAATTGTGGAATCAACTTTTGGTTCAATACAAGAAATAGTAATTTAAAAAATGCAACTATGCCNGATAAACAAAGGCGTGACGAGATAAATTCTACCATTTTGATAATTTTTTTTCAGTGAATGTTTCATTCTTTACTTATTAAAACGAAATTCAAATTTACAATTGTGGAACCAACTTTTGGTTCAATACAGGAAATAGTAATTTAAAAAATGCAACTATGTCACTGGAATCCCTGCTCTTAATGACTGATTATTAGACTGATATCATTAAATATAATATAATGCCCAGCTAGACTAAAATTTTCAATCGAAATTTGCTGTTCCTGAAAGATTTAATAATGTTTAGATATGGTAGTAGTTACAAATAACGAGATAAATTAAGAAATTTAATATTAATGAAATGAAATTCTACAATTTTTATACTTTTTTTCTGTGAATGTTTCATTCTTTACTTATTAAAACGAAATTCAATTTACAATTGTGGAATCAACTTTTGGTTTAATGCAAAAAAATAGAAATTAAAAAAAATGCAACTATGTCACTGGAATCCTTGCTTTTAATGACTGATTATAAAATTGATATCATTAAATATAATATATTACCCTGCTAGACTAAAATTTTCAATCGAAGAGTAAATAATGTTAATGTATGGTAGCAGTTACAAATGAAGAGATACATTTTGAATTTTATTATTAAGGGAATTAAATTCGACCATTTTTATTCTATTTTTGATGTGATGTTTCATTCTTGCTAATTAAAACCAAATTCTACTTACAATTGTGGAATCAACTTTTAGTTCACTACAAAGAAGAAGAATAAAAAACTATTTCACTGGAATCCTTACTTTATATGACTGATATCATTAAATATAATATAATTTCTTGTTTATTGCTTGAATAGATTTTCAAATATTATCTATTTTTAAACATGTACTCGGAGTACTTTTCATAAGTATATGTGCAGTTTGAGAATAATGCACATTTATCATAGACTGTTTTCTATTCTTTTACCTTTCAGTTCCTTTGGAATTTTTAACTCTTTACCCTCCCCCCTCCTCTATTCTAATGCAAAACTCAAAACGCATTCTTCGAAAGCATTCCTTAGAAAAAGAAAAATAAGTACAGCCTCGTTAATGACTTTTCCTTCACTATGCTTTAAGGTACGAAGGATTTTTCTTGAGGGGGGAAGGGGGAGATGTTTAGGAAAAAGAACTGCAGCACAAAAAAATAAATATAAGAAAAACTAGAAAATAAAGAAAAAAATCTAAAAACGAAGCAACTTGAGAAACGAAAGTAAAAATAAAAATAGCTCAGGCAGCGTGAAAAAAATCTCAGAAATAATTACATCTCTGAAGTTTTGCTATAGCAGGCGAAAAACAAAAACACAAAAAACTACTAATAAAAAATCAAAATTAAAAACGAGATGAAATAATAACAACAATAATAAAAGGAAAATTTTTAAAAAGGCATCCTTGTAAGTTACAGCAAACTTAGATGTGTCCAAGTATAGCCCATTAATCTTTCTTCGCGCTGTCACTTACATACTGATGAGCCTGAAGAATATTCAGTGCATATTCTTCAACCTGAGCCGCTAATTAATATTCGTGCTGTGTAGAGAAGATAGGTTCCCTATCTTCCTTTACTTAACACGCGCATAATAAAAGAGACCCACTCCAGCATTGTTAGGTTCTGATCTGGTATGCAGATGATCACGGGGGGTTCTCCCCTCAAGGAAGATGATTGTTCAGAAACATCCCATTTTGTTCTATTCATTTGAATTAGAAAGTTCACCAAATGAATACTTCTGCAATTTTTAGGCTTAATAGTTGAGCTGAGAATAAATGTTTTTCAAAAATAGTTTGCATTGAAAACGATTTTTAAGGATAAAAAAATCGTCGAAGAATTGCCGTCATCGACAAAGCTCACATTGAATACTTATTTTAAGAAATTGGATGCTAATAAAATTTACATAGTATTTGATTACAATTATTTGGGACCCGCGCTAAGGACTTCAAATTAGTAGCCAGTAAATCAGTCAAATATCAAAAGTGTTAGCCAAATCCCAAAAGTCTTAGCCAAAGGAAGGAGTTTAGTCACGCGAATATCGCATGATCTGGATAAGAACGTGCTAATCGACATTTTATTATTATTTTTTTTCTTGTTACTTTCATTATCTAGATTTCATATCTAGACTTACATTTCTAGACTAATAAGTTATGCGACATATCTAAGGGAAATTACCGTAATC